CCTCCTCAGCTGTGCCAATTCCTGATGTGCATGAAAAACATGTCAGGAACAAATGTGGTGAGGACCCAGAGGCTTGAGCATCAATGCCCTCACTGAAGGGCATGTTACCACACTCAGGAAGTGCATGCCTCAACCCAGCACATTTCCTGTGATCATTCCCCATATTAATTACTTACACTCAAACCCTTATCCCAAGTTTTGCTTCACGAGAAACCAAGAACACGAAGTCCAGGAGGTACCATGAACATGGGCAGAGAAGAACAACTGCTAACCACAGTCAGTTCTGTTTTCACAACTGCTAGTTTGAAGAAAATGCTTTAACCAACAAAGTGTTGCCATACAGGCAACTCTGTCCTGGAAATCACCAATGTTCCACATCATGTGAGAGGCACTGCTATCTCAAAATATGCTTTACACTCTACTTGCAAATTGCTAGTTCCTGGAAACACTCATCAACTGCACATGATTGAAATCTTCTTGCTAAATTGTGCAGTTTTCCTGTCTAAGATGTTCATGCAACTTCTGGGCAAGGTAATTATCCAATCACAAAACAGTGAAGTTGAATGTTTTCACAACTAGGGATGAAATGAAAAGGGAATGAGTGAACAGCCAACACTTGGAAAGCCTAACTTTACTTCGTAAAGTGAGATGTACATATTTTAATTCTATATACAAGTAAATACAATTAAACAACCCATATTTTAAATGTAATTTTGTTACTGAATGCATTCATTAAAAGTATAATGTATATTATCACAAATGTATTTTTCATGTCGTAAAAGTTCAGTAATTTACTTCCTTTGAAATTGTACAAATTTAATTTCAAGGTTTCAAAAATCATCACCTATGTCAAAGCATGCTTGTAACCCCAGCACTTGGGATGCCGAGGCAGGAGGACTGCTGTGAGTTTAAGAATGCCTGAGGTTTATGGGAAGTTCAAGGCCAACCTGGAATACCTAGCAAGACCCTGTCTCAAAAAACAAACAAAAATCATCATACTGTAAAGAAGGTTATAGGCTTCACTAGATTTCCAAAAGGATTCACAGAATAAAGCAAATCAGAAAAAAATATGTTTTAGAAACTCTGGGCTAGAAGACAGGAAAAATTCTTCAGTCTGAAGGTAGGAAAAACTTATTAAACATCTCGGAAACCAAAGCCCTAGAGGAGCAAGTTGATAATTCTGAAACACTACAATTAGATATGTCTATCAAAAGATACTACTGACAAAGTAAGTAACAGGGTGGGGAAAAAAATCTCTGCAAAACATATAAACAAAGAGCTCACATCCAGAATAAAGACCTCTTACAAATCAATTAGAAAAAAAGCTAACCATTTAAAAATAGGCAAGCGGGCTGGACATTTAGTTCAGCGGTGCCACCACCCGCCTCACAAGTACAAGGACCCAAGTTAGATCCCCGGTACCCAAAAAAATAAAAGCAAGAGTCTGACCATTCTCTTTCAAATCAGGCATCCAAACAACACATGTAAAAACAGGTACTCCATCTCATTAACAATCAGAGAAAGGCACTTTAAAACCACAATGCTCAGGTGAATATTCACCAAAGTAACCAAATGTGTGAGCGTGACTCCCTGGGCAGGCATCGGGGCACAGAGGAGTAAGTGTGGACCGCCCAACATCACAGCACCGTCCTCACACCGCTCACTCAATGCTCACGAGAGACATCATGACGGAGCAACGTGAAAAGAAGGAAGAGCCCAATAAACAGAACTGCGACCGCATCCCTTTGGTCACGGACTAATGATAAGAGATTACATATTGTCGAGGAGACAATAATGGAGAATGCTCTCGCAGCATTCTCAGAATTGAGAATTTCCTAAAGAAGATCCAAGCTACATTTAATCTACCACACATTATAAATATTTTTCAATAAATTATATTTACTTTTAAAAAGCACTGAAATATTTACAAATGAATGACAACAGGGATATTAACCCAAATAATACAAGTGAAGAGGGCTGCATCACTGAACAAGACCGGCTGGGCAGTAACTGCGGGAGCCGGGGACGCAGATGAGAAGTCCACTAACCACACTCCTCTATCTGCATTGCTAAAAAGTGAGAAACACAAGCCAAACTAAGGAAATGCATCGTCGACACAAGCAACTGACACAGGATGAGGATCACATACATTATAAGAACTCCTTAAAATAAAAGAGACCTATCACAGCTGGGCGTGGTGCAGCGTACTCTTAATCCCAGCACTCTGTGAGGCTGAGGCAGAAGCTCACATTCAAGTCCAGCCTGGGCAACTTGTGAGAATGAAAAAGGGCTAGGGTGTAGTTCAGTGGAAAGGCTTTCGGTTCAATGCTAGTACCGGAGGGGTGGGAGGACAGGAGGAGGCTGAAGCAGGACAGTCATCTGTGCCCAGGAGTTCTAGACCAGTCTGGATAACACAGTGATACCCCATCTCCAAAGGAAAGAAGAAATAAAGGAATAAGGGGAGGGGAGGAGAGGAGAGGTACGGAGGAAGAAAGGAAACAAGGACGTGATGAGGAATAAAGGAAAAGCAAGCATCCATAAACAAAGGAAAATATTCACATCCAACAGGAACAAAGAAAACATGAATGTGCATACATGTGAAGCTTCTGCTTTCAAAAAGAAAGCAATGAAATAGTAATGGTATGATTCAAGATTCTCGTTCCACAGGGCTGGGGGGAATGAGGAGCCACCAGGAGGAAGACGAAGGACGTCAGTGTTAGTCCTGTCCCCGTGGGTAGTGGGTACATGGGCACCTATATGTCATATTACTGACCAAATTCTCTATATAGTCTTTGAACCTACAAAACTTTTTATAATTTACAAAGGATCACTCAAAGAATATGAAAAAAATTATTGGAAGTTCAAAATGTCATAGCATAAAAATCTCACTTCAGAGTTCAAGCAGAAATATCTCCCAGAATTTAATTTTAAAATGATGAGATGGAAAACAGAGGAGGAAGAAAATAGTAAATTTGAGGGTTGGTGCAGAAAGACCCACACGTGAACATAAAGAGATCCAGAACAGGAAATGACGGCAAGCAAAGTCTCCACCATGAGGGCGTGCACTCCTAGGACATGGGCTCGGAACTCTCTCCTTGGCTGACCCTTGGAGGCACAGGGCCCGGTGCTGAGATTCCAGGTGCTAGGGAAGAGGAGGCCCCCAAACCTCAGTGCTGCAAATGGGGTACCTCACAGGCTCTGTGCATCACACAGCAACACCAAAAGCCAGGAGGCAACAGAACCAGGACTTAAAAGCTTCTGAAGGACAACGATTTCCAGCCCAATTCTATGCCCAGCTGAAGCAAAGAGAAGAGCAAAACCAAAATTTCTCAGACATGCAAGGCCTCAAAAATGTTTATGTCCATTCACCTTCTCTCAGGAGCCTGCCAGAGGCACCTCCATCAAACAGGGAATTTAACAAAGGACAAGGCAAGGAGAATTTCAAGGCTACTGAAAGGAAATCCCAAAATGTTAACTATGCTATTCTAAAATCAGAAAAAGTAAGTCAGATTTGAGCAACGAGAGCACATTTCAGGATATTTCCTATGTGAGATTATACTGGGAGACGATTCAGTCTGCCAGCAATTCTGGGGATAAATCAGGCATACAGGAAACAAACGGTAAAACAAAGTAATTACTGCTTCCGAAATAATTATTAATTATGAAGAATATTTTATACAATCTTAATAATGTAAACAATAGCAATTTACCCAAAAATTTTGAGGTCAGGAAGACTGAAGAAGGGAAATAAAGAGAATGAAAGCCTCAGTTCCCATAGTAGAAAGGCAAAACACAACATATAACCACTGTGAGAAAAACTCAAGAAACTGGAACAATTAATATGGAGATACATCAAAGAGCTGGGACTAGAGCTTCCATATGACCCAGCCATCCCTCTGCTGGGTATCTTTCCAAAAGAATTAAAAGATTCATACCACAGTGATATATGCACACCAATGTTTATAGCAGCACAGTTTGTAATAGCTAAAACTTGGAAACAGCCCATTTGCCCATCAGTTGGAGACTAGATAAAGAAGATGTGGTTTTCTATAAAATGGAATATTACTCAGCCATAAAGAATGAGAAGTTAGATTCATTCATAGGAAATGGATACATATTGAGGATATACTCCTAAGTGACATAAATAAGTCACACATGTATAAATACCACATAGTTTCTCTGGTGTGAATAAACTATAATAGTATATAAGATCCTAATGATATAATGGACAATGTGAAATAAGAAGAACAGGCTAAAGGTGTAGGGAAAGTGGGAAGGGTAGGGGAAAGGGAATAAGGGAAAAGAAAAAAATATGAAAAAATGGAAATGAAGTGTTTATAAAGGGGGAGGGGAGGAGGGGTAAAGGGAGGGCAGGGACAAGGGGGAAAAATGAGAACAAGGACCTGTCGTGTAAAGGTACAGGATCCCAGTAATGAATGTACCTGTACTGTATACCTAAAATGTACCAATAAACTCAATGAGGAAAAAAAAAAAGAAACAGAAACACTAGCAGGCTACTTAGGGACATGAAAGGAAATATAAAAATACTCAGCTCAACAAATAACTGCCTTCAGGACACTGGGAGTAGAAGTGGGGAGTCAGGCAGAGAAGGCTGCTTTTCATTCTGAATCCAGTAGAACAATCCCACTTCCTAAACAGAACTACATGTCATTGATAAAACATAAAAGCTAGTTTTTAAAACTGCAAGTGAGCTAAGGTCAGACAAGAATATTCGCCATTGTTCCAAGCATCTACTGTGCTGGTCGTACATCAGGTCCTCACAAACTCCCCTTCTCCCCAGAGCCGGAGCCTGAGCCCAGACCTACTGCCGAAGGCTGCCCCACTCGAGCTATCCATCGCTCCACATCTCAGCAGAACCACTCCTCAGGCCACTTTCAGAGTAAGGCTATCTCAGTTTTACAGAGGACAGAACTGAAAATGAGGATGCATGAGGAAAATTTTTTAGTTTTTTTCTTTTTTAAATTTGTTCAGGGTTTTACCTTTCCAGCAGTAGCAAAATATTCCCCATCTGGAGACCATTCCATCAAATGTACAGATACTGAGGTTCTAAGAAAAACAAACAAACAGTTAGCGTGTGTGTGTGTGTGTGTGTGTGTGTGTGTGTGTGTGTGTGTGGTACCAGGGATCAAACTCCAGACCTTGCACTTTTGAGGCAGGTGCAGTGTCACTGAGCTACAACCCTGGCCCCAGTTAACATTTTTAAAACTGGGCACAGCGTATATGTAAATGATTGTGATTTTCCTAACACAAAAGCCACAATTATCAGAACATAAGTGTTTCTCCTTCTATAAAACAATCCATCTTCCTAAACAAGCAACTTAATTAAAACTAAGCCAAATCTGCTCTGGAGAATGAGAGCAGATGCATGTGGGACACACACACACTCATCACACCTAACTTTCCAGGTTAAGCACTGACCCAGCATCCCCTGCTCACTGGCCTCTTCACCTTCTCTGTCACTGCTGATGGTGCAGCCCCTCCCGGGTGAGGGTGACCAGCAACTCCACCCCACACCCAACCCACTGTGAGTACTTCCTATATGGCAACCCTGTCAACACAAGTCCTGGAGCTGTCACTAGGAAGATACTGCTGTCCTTTTTTAAGCAATGGGCTACAGCACAGACAGAATGAAACAATGGGTTTTGATTAGAAAGCTCTACTTTCTAGGCTTCCAACTGCAATGGTACCATCAAAAAATAAAGGTTTTTGTAAAAGAACATAATTAGGAGCACATTTTAAAGTAATGAACATGACAATAGAGTTAGACACTAACTTGCACTGCCAGACGCACTTCCAGTCATTTAAAACGGGAGGAATTTTATTATCAATTTCTTCCTCCTCTTCCAGAATATCACCTCCTGGAGGAGCCCACAACTGAATAGAATCAGTTGCTGTCAACAATCTGTTATCTGAAAATTGAAGAATGTTCTGATGAATAAGCAAGGATTATCTAGGGAAAAAAATGCACATGTGGGCTGCTGTTTTGGTCTATAAACTATTTTGTGAAAAATAAAAACAATACCACCTATGAAAAAGGTGGTACTCTATGGAGTAGAGTCTCCTAGAAGAAGTAGAAAAAAAAACGATAATAATCCCCAGACCACAAAGAATAGTTCTTATAAAAGACTTGACAACAAGAAAGCTTACTAGCAAAGAGCTATAGTATATCAAGAAAGTCTTAAAAACAAGAATAAAAAGCAAAAATAAAATGGCAAATCCCCCAAACTCTGATACAAAATGTTCTCAGGACAGCCAGACATGGTGGTGCACACCTATAAACCCAGAACTTGGGAGGCTGAGGCAGGAGGATCACCCCAAATTCGAGGCTAGCCTGGGCTAAATAGTGAGTTCAAGGTTAGCCTGAACTGCAAAGCAAGACCCTGTCTCAAAAAAACAAAAAAGTTCTCAGGATGTAAGAAAAACTGCAAATTAATGGAATTTGTTTTCTATATGAAACAATAAAGCATCAATAATTCTGAATGTAAAAGGGGGCAATAGCTATTATCATTAAGGTTTTTAATCTTTCAAAATTAAAGGTAGTAATTTCCTGAAATACAAATGATACAAAAAAGATGGAATATTTTTGGTCCCTGCTTTATTTATGATTTTGTTTCTTATAAAATACATTAAGAATAAGGTACAGCACATGTTAACTAAGGAAACAAGTCACTTTTTTTAAATAAAACACTAAAAGGCAGGGGCAAAAAAGCACAGAGTAGCATAGAGCAGTAGATTGAGCATTATACAAAGCCATAAATTCAACAAGAAAATATAACATTAATCATTTTTCTATTATGAAAGGCCATATTACACTATAGTTGTACATGTAAAACAAATATTTCATTTTTTTAATTTCTAAGTATAACTGCTAAATACCTTGAGGGTCCCATGCCAGGTTGTATGTCACAGAATTCAAAAAGAACTGCCCGGTTTTAAGCCACTGACACTTGAGTTGCTGAAACATGCAGAGAGAAAGAAAAAACAAAAAGAGATGTCTAAAATTTCCAAAAGCTCTACCATTTTATCATTTTCTTCAGCTTCAGGCTATATGACTTGAAATAAAGATGTGAACATTTTACTGCTGTTTTTACAACAACTTCAGTAGTCCTGCTTGCTTACTCCCCAGTGATGAGCCGACAACCACCCACGGAGTAGGGCCCCCAGGCTCCTCCAGTCCGGCAGATGGGCACCCTCTGCAAGCTGCGCGTCTCCATGAACACCTGGCTAATCTCCATGAACCTGGCTAATCTGCTCCCCACTCTGCTCTGGTGCTCCCCACGCACACTGATCCACCAATGCTCTGTTTACCGCTCACACACTTACCTTTAGAGCTTGCTACACCTGCTACAAAAATGCTGTGAAATGTTTATTAAAACAAAATTTCCTCAGAGGGAACATAATTGTTATATACTGCAAACATGTACTAGTAAATATTTTGAAAATAGATGCACAGTAGAAAGAAATGCAAATTATCAGTCATGTGGACCCACTGTCTAATAAAAAACTGTAGGTACCTAAGAAGTCAATAGACTTGAAACTATATGATGTAATTACAAACTTCAACTATTTTAATTGTTTCCATCCATTTTTTTATATTTTCATTCTAAAGAGTAAAGTTTAAGTAAAAAAATCATTTACATTAAATACTAAATTCTAAATAAGTAAATCTGCTTTACGTCTTTGTTATATACAAAGAGTGTACAATGCCCTTTTGTGAAAATGCAGTGCAATGTACATCCATGTCCGTTAGTAACTGCCTAGCAAGTACAATAATTTTTTAAATGGCAATACTTCTGACAGTAACTTCATTTTTTTTTTTTGGAACCGGGGATCGAACTCAGCTGACAGTAACTTCAATACTTCAGTAATTTACTCAAGGTTTCTTGACTACTTAGAAATGAAATTTTAAGATATGCCTATAAAATCTGCATTTCATTATCTAAAAGTAATTTTATACTTTATAACGAAACTAATATTAAATCTTACCACTGCTCACCAAGTATCAGTCACAACAGTGTTTTGAATAATTAAATCATTCCTAAGGTTACAGATAATCCTAGTATTTTTCCTTTGGTATTTAATCCACCAGCCAACTATAGTACATCACAGAAATTTTCAATCTGCAGCCTGGAAACCTGCAAAACCAATTTTTTTTTTTCAGTAGTACTGAGGATTGAACCCAAGGCCTTCACACTGAGCTACATCATCAGCCCTTTCTATACACTTTATTTTGAGACAGGGTCTAAATCACTAAATTGACCATGCTAGGCTTGAACTCACAACCCTCCTGCCTCAGTGGGATTACAGGCCTGCACCACCATGCCCAGCTCTAGAATTCTGATATGTTCTCCAGATGACTTTTTTTTTGTGTTTGTAGTACTGGGGATTGAACCCAAGATCTTGCACATGCTAGGAAGGTACTCTCAGGGGATAAGCTTTATCCCTGAGGCAATTTAAATACTCCAAAATTTGACATAAGTTTCCTGCTACTATTATAGAAAAAGGCTAGTATTTCAATTTAGACTGACTTTTCAGAAATGTAAAAAGAGCCGGGTGTGGTGGTGCACGCCTGTAATACCAACTCGGGAGATATTTAGACTGACTTTTCAGAAATGTAAAAAGAGCCGGGTGTGGTGGTGCACGCCTGTAATCCCAGCACTCGGGAGGCTGAGGCAGGAGGATCGATGTAAATTTGAGACCAGCCTGGGCTACATAGTGAGTTCCAGGTCAGTCTCAACTACATAGTGAGACTCTGTCTCAAAAAGAAAGAAAGAAAGAAATGTAAAAAGAAATATCCAAATATATATACATATTTAATGAAAAATACAGGCCAGGGATGCGCCAGGCACCACACCTGCCTGGCTATCACAACGTCCTGAGTTCAATCCCCGGTACCGGGGGCTGGGGAAACTAGTTAAAATGCATTTCATTTTACAAAACAATCTTTAGGCTGGGCATGGTGGCACAGAAATCTGGAGGTTGGGACAAAAGGATCATAAGTTCAAGGCCAACCTGGGCTACACAGCATATCCTGTCTTAAAAAAATAAAATGAATAAATTAAAAAATAAAAATAAACATCTCTTTTGAGCTGGGCATGGTGGCATACATCTGTAGTCCCAGCCTGAGACAGGAGAATGATGAGCCCAAGAGTCTGAATTCAGCCTGGGCAACACATTGAGACTCCCACTGCCAAAAACAAAGAAAAATAATTTGTTAAATGACTTCTAAATATATACTCCTGATAGTTGGATTTAACATTTGCAGTTTGGATTTTTTTGAGTGGCAGTGAAGTTCAAAAGCATGCAATAATTTTTAATGGAGCTGATAATTTCTGAATGCCAAATAATAAAAAATAAAACCCAGCACTCAATGATACATGTGAATGGCTGTCAATGCAGGGTGCTGGGCTTCTTAGCTGCAAAGATATCCAAGTGCCTGACTACTCTTAGCAAGTATTTGGGAGCACTGTCCCTGGTGAGTTCCACATTCTATTCTCAGTGAACAAAAGAAAAACTTTTCTACTCTCTGGCACTTACATTCTGAATAGTGAGCAATCAATAAACAAACAAGGTAAGTCCTATGGAAAAGAAGTTAAAAACAGTTAAAAGGGTAAAAGTTGCATTTTTAAAGGTGGTGAGAATGGACCTCACTGAGATCCTGTTACTGAGTAAAAACTAAGGATTCTAGGAAAGCTAGCCTTGGCGCTGCAGGGAAGACATTCCAGAGACAGGAGCTGACACTAAAGGGGAGCAATGAGGACACCACTCCAGTGTCCAGGGCAGGAGAACAGCAGCAGACGAGCTCTGGGAGGGCCAGGTTGTCTTCTACTTGACAGCTCTCCAGCTTTCCTGCTATGAGCAGGGACCAGCAGCCTGGGCCAGAACAAGATGCCCAGACTAGGGAAATGGCAGCTGGCGATGTCCCAGGGATGCAGGCCCCGAAGGCTCTGACCAACCGCACATTGATATTCCAGCCTACTCCTACCCCAGCTCCTACGGTTCCACTGTCAACCAAATTCTAAAGTTAAAAAGAATCGATTAGAAATGTGAAAAAGTTAAGTAGATTCTAAAAACATCCTACTATCATTAATACTTACACAATTCCTCTTATGGGAATTTATGCCTAGGGGCTCAAATATACACACAGCATTTCCATACGAAGCAGCGATCTAAAAAGAAAACAGCACAGAAATTTACAAAGAGGAAAAGTAAACAAATCTCGTTTTCAAAATAACACATAACTTAGGACATTAATACCCCAATGAGGCCCTGATGGTCTATTTCCTGCAATGAAATACCTGGAAGTGTATTCGAGTTAAGAATCTAAAAAAACTCAGTAGGCTTCATTTTATGAGTACAAAGTTGACCTATTCAAAGTAATCATCTTTCCTAGAACTAAATTTATTCACAAAAATACACTCCAATGGTACATCTCTTTATCAGGAACTATAATCCAGTGAACGTAATACAAAAACCATGGAAAGTAGAGAAAGACATTGAATAATAACAAGCTTTAAGAAGGTATCATATTAAATGGCCCTGATTATATAGCTTGGGAGGCCATCTAGAAGGGAACAGAAAACTTGGAGCTGAGCAGTCACCCACTGTGCCTGGAGACAAAAGGTGTCTTCAGCTGCTGAGGCTTGGGGACCCAAGGGACTGTGTTCCAGGTCACCACCTGGTGACGGGGGACATAAACCATAAACCCCTCTGTCCCCAGAAGCTACCAGAGCCTGTCGCCAGTAACTCCTTAAAGGTCAGTTCCTAGTTCATCCTCCTGACAAAGAGAGGGTCAGCTACAGAGTAGAGACCAAAAACCATCCATTCCAACACCTCCAAAATCCGGGACTATAAAACTCCACTAGGGCCAGGTATGGGAGTGTACACCTGTAATCCCAGCTACCTGGGAAGATGAGGCAGGAGGCCAGCTTAGCTAACTTAATGGAACCTAGTATCAAAATAAAATAGTTTAAAAAGAGCTGGAAATGAAGTTCAGCACCCTCTGAGTCAATCTCTAGTACCAGAAAACAAAACAAGCAGAAACTAAATTAGGTACATATTCTTCTAAGGCCTGGCAAAAAGACCACTGTGATTTTTATACACTCTCACACCAAAAGGTGACTTTTAAGTGTTTCCCAATACCTTACACTTTTTCCAACCAGGCTTTGAATCCACAATAGTTGAGAACCTTCTTCAGATGCCTGCTGTAGATGCCCTGAGCCAGTCTGACAGAGTCACAAACATGAAAGTCACTGCCACAAGGACAGGCTACACGGTAACACGGATGGCACTAAAGACAACACACAGGTCCTGCCCAGAGTTTTGCCTTCTTTAAACAGGTAATCAGTAACAGAAACATAGGCTGCTCTGCTTCCCACACACTGTCTTTCATAGTTCAAACATCTTGGAGGCTGAGGCAGGAGGATCGCCAGGAGTTGGAGGTCAGCCAGCCTTAGCTACATAGTCAGTTCAAGGACAGCCTGGACCACAGAGCGAAACCCTGTCTCAAAATCCCCCCAAAATAAAACTTTTCTTCCAGAAAATGTGTTCATTGTGATCACTAGAACTTAAGTAATTTATTAAAATTCACCTCTGACAACTATCATACTATTGATATCAAATATCGAAGGCAGACTTAAAGCAACCCTACTTGTCCTATAAGAAAATTAATGAAAATTAATTAAAGAAACTTGACACTCTCAGCAAGTTAGGGGTGTCCTTTTGTATGGGGGAGAAGTTCAGGGGGTGCTGGGCATTGAACCCAGAGTCTTCACACTGAGCCAAATTCCCAGCACTTAAATTTTTATTTTGAGACAGGTTGTCACTAAATTACCCAAATAATGATGGATCTTGTGATCCTCCTGCCTCAGCCTCCCAGAGTGCTGGGATTACAGACATGAATTACCAGGCCCAGTGACTCTTCTAAAATAAGCATAGCAATGCTTTGGGCAAAAAAATCAGAAAAGCAAGAGAAAATTCAGTGAAATCAATCACTAGCTTGTCAAGGAGTAGTACATTTACATAAATATTAAGGCTTGATCCCAGCAGTAGGGTGGGGCAGGAGAAATGGAATAAAAAAGTCACCATGACTTATTCAGCATAAATTTGCATGATTGCTATTTATTTAATCAGGTAATGTCCTGATAGCATAACCTTGATAAAATTTGTTATTCAGCAAAGAATAGTCTCTAGGCTAAGACTACAGACAAAACAGGCATATATGCCTGTACTCCTAGCACTTAGGAAGCTGGGGCAGGAGGATCACTGCAAGATCAAGGCCAGCCTGAATGATATGGTGAGACTAGTTCAAGGCCAACCAGCCTGAAATACATGGTGACCACCTGTTCCACAAAAAATCAAAAAACAAAGAGACACACAACTCTCCTATGTAACAGCCTTACTGAATAGCTAGGATGTACAGCAAATATGCTGTATTTACTCTACATGTGTTTTTGTTTTTTTGTTTTTTTGTTTTTTTTTTTTTTGCTACTGGGGATCGAACTAGGGACCTTGCACTTTCAAGGCAGGCAAGGTGCCAATGAGCTAAATCCCCAGCTCACTTTACATGTAAATTAGATGCCTATGTTCTTAATTCTGAGGGAGAGGTATATCATGAAATTTTAACTATTTCAAAGTAAATCCTCTGTTTTAAAGTATGTATGAATGAATGAACTATAAAATTCTTCCCTCAAACATAAACTTTCATTAAACTAAGACTTTACAAAGCACCCACTATACAACAAATTTACATTAGACAGTAATACCTCATTAGATTTCTTAGGGAATTTCGATGTTACTAGCCAGGCATGGCAGCATACACCTGTAACCCCAGCACTCCAGGAAACTAAGGCCAGAGGAACACCAGCCTGGGCAACTTAGTAACTTAGGGAGACCCTGTCTCAAAACCAACAAAAAAAAGTGCTCAGTGAGAAGGACCTGAGTTTGATTCCCAGTACCACAAGAAAAACAAACTGATGTTACTTCCAGGCACAGTGGGACAGCCCTGTAGTACCAGCACTTAAGAGGCTAAAGAAGTAGACTCAGCTAAGGCCAGGAGTCAATGGCCAGGCTGAAATTCTATTTCAGAAAACAAAGTTCTGACATTATAAGGAGTGTTAGGTAGAGAAGATAAAAATTTAATCCCTTCTACTGGCTCAGTGGCCACCAGGGTTACTGAATGGTAGAATACCAGAACATACAAGGCAGTGAGGCCTACTGAACTTTTGGGACAGATGCACCCATGGAACAATTCATCCTTGCATCACTGGCTTAACAGCACTTTACACTTATGTACGAGCCATTCCTTTACAACTCCCATCAACAGCCCCTGCACCACGCATAGTAACAAGACAGTGTAGACCAGCCTCGCCCAAGAGAATATGGAAACTGGCTTTGCTAAACACGGTAACAACAGTGCTGCACAAAGGGAAGAGGTCCTTACTCTTCCTTGCTGGCTGGAACACTCCACGCAGCTGACTTGGATGTTCCCATGCTTAGCACCAGGAATGATCTGCACACATTCGAAGTCGTTTGCCAAAATAACAATGTCACAGCCGGATCCATAGGCCTAGGAAGAAAGGGTTTAATGGTAAGACATGCAGCTTTTGAATTATTATGCAATATTTTATCTTAGGTTTTGTTACCAATGTAAAGTATATTTTGCCACATTTTATAAGACAATATAGTATCACTTTCCAAACACAAACACTGAAAGTCACATCAAAAGTAAACTGATTCCACTCTGTGTGTTATCAGTCAAGAACTGCTACTAACAAGAGATGGGTTCTTCCAGTTACTAAATACTGCAGCCAGAATCCTTTCCCTTTGTCACTCTAGTGTGATATATACATGATATATGATGTATATGTGATACAGAGGTGTAATTGAGACAAATTTCTGCTCATCTAATCTAGTCTGCAGTTAGGTGTGCATTAGCTAATTATACTATAAGCTAATATATACTATAGTCTTGCAACAGTTTCAAAACCTCTGCATAACTGATAATAAAAGTGTGAGCATTTTGTTTTCATAAGCTTTTTTTTTTTTGCTTCAAAAGGTTTTATTTTCTTTTGGTCGAAGACTTTGGAGGGGGCTCCAGAGAGGTGGAAAAGCTTCCCAGTGGCTGGAGCAAGAGGGTCAGACCGAAGCCCTGATTCTGGCTGAGCAGAACCCACTCACAGGCTCCAGATGAGCCTTTCCAAGAGGTTCTCGCCCAGCCCAGCTTGGGGGCTGCGGGGCTGAGTGAGGTGGTCACCTGTCTTCTCGATGAGCTTCACCTCCTCCTCTAGAAAGTGGTTCTCCAGAAAATCACAGAGATGAGGTCTGTCCTGGCAAAGCCCAAAGCATAAAGATCCAGAAGAGCATGGTTCAGGTTCTTCTCCAGGGTCAAGGCAGTTTCCATGGTGTCCAGGGTTTTACCTTCAGAAGATTTCTGCACATCTCGGAAGAGAGCTCGGCCTCCGTGCTGGTTTTGCATCTTCAGAAGGGCCAGCTCAGGAAGAAATGGCCCATGCCCGCCACAGCACTTCATCACAGTCGAAGTAGTGGCCCAGAGAGGCAGGTGTGGGAGACTCGCAGGTGCAGATTCACCAGGTGGTTGACTGCAGCCTCTACCAAAATGGAGTAATCCTGACAAATGAGGAGTCGTGGCTGGTCAGCCTAAGGAGCTACCCACAAAAGAATGGTGCTGGCTGGTCCTGGAAGCCAGAGACGGCAAGATGATGATCCTGAAATGTGTAACTGGAAGGTGGGTGGAGGATGAGAGAGAGGGAGTTGGGTCTGCTCTGTCCAAGCACTGCTGAAGCAGGAGACAGGCCCTTGAAACCTCTGGACATGCTGCTCTTTACAGCCTTTTAAAAGTGTAATTTTAGGTTTAACATGTAATCTTTCTACAACTGACTTTTTGACATAACAAGGACAAAAATAGCTTTCTGAATATTTTTTCTTCTGTATAAGTGGAAAGGGAATTTTTCACATATAAGAGTGGGCTGTGATTTTCAAAAGAACTTTATCATTAAACAACTAACAACAATAATTAGCTCTTAATTAGGGTGTTAGATTACTGTAGCAACTAGTACAGGATACGACTGAATGATTCCCCCACACACACCCTGCCATCCACATAATTTACAGTCTAGTAACGGTGAAGTTGATTAAGTATTACTGATTTTAAAATTCAGATTATCTAAAAATGATTTGGCGCCCATCTTCCATGTTTCTGTCTCCTGCAAAACGTTAAACATGTTAGCAGGAGTGTAAGGAGAAGTTACACCTGACTGTTGATGTATCACTTGTTGTCACAACCCTACAGTGAAATAATACATAAACAGACTGAAATTCATAAAAAATAAAGCAAACACGGCACACCCCTGACCCTGCAGGTCCTAACTCACTGTGTTAAGCTTCTCCCCAAAGCTCATCTTTCCATCTCAAGATAAGGAAGCACTGAAGACTGCCAAATGCATTCCCTGGGTATGAACCAGGCTTGAGAAAAATCGGAAATCAAACATGGTTTTCCCACACAATTCCACATGCAGAACAGAGGTAACCGACCAACGGCAGCATTTGCGGCAGGACGGCAGGCAGGGGTGAGGACAGCAACCAACCTCCAGCCACCCGGCCACCCACCACCCCGGTCTGAGTCCACACTGCCTGCAACACTCACCCAACTGCACCAGGCACCAGGGAGGAAGGAAGACATTTTAAAATAAACTGATTTATAAAAATACTGGGCAAAGAAAACTCTGAGGCCTAAGAATAAACTACAACAGAACTGTTGGGAAAATTCCCTCATTCAACACACAGTAAGGAGAAACATGTACTTCCTGTATTGCCACACTTCTTGGTGTATGCTACCCGTTTAGCAATTTTGTGAATTTTATGACTAAGGGGCAGACAGTGGGGAGTTTTTTCCAAGATACTCATGCTGAAATACATACAACAACCCAACAACCTAAGCCACAAATGAAGAGCTCCATTTAGAAGCAACACAGATACAGAATTTGTGAGGTGGTACTTTCCCCGCTATTTCCATACCCTTACACAATGTAATATCTACAAAACAGGGAGCTCCATTAAGCAGGGTTGAAAAGTAATGACAGCTAATCTCTGCCCTAACTGGCCCTTGGAGCCACACTACTAAGGAAAGAGGGACAAGGAAGGTAAGGGCCAAACAGGAAAACAAACATTACTTCCCCTGGTTACTAACACTTTCACAGCCACAAAATCCTGCTGCACTTACTATAAGCCACCCTCAACCTTGCTTCACAAGTATCAAACAGTTCAAAAAATAAAAGCAAACATAATTTTAAGTAGCAGAAACAAAAACACAAGAGCAAGTGACTACTTCTATTCTTACAGAAAAGGCAGATTTACAGTACCATATGTTTAGGTACCATATATTCCTGAAAAGGAATATTAAGTACAGGCAGGAGAAATGTCTGTGTCACTATGCTAATCTTTAAAATTATATAACTAAAATAATCTTACCCTCAAATAACATTTCCCAATTTCCTGCGTGACCTGCACCATTACCTAAGCAAAATGAATGGACCGGAAAGCACAAGCTGGACTCAGTTTGAAATCAAGCATTTCCAATTCCTGTTCTGTCACACTATGTGATCTTGATCAAGTTACTTATGTGCTATGAGCATTACCCATAGTAAAATATAAGAAATAATATTCACCTGTTACAATTATGAAAATTAAAATAGAAAATCCATTTGCATGGTGATAAACACACATCACTGACTTAAGAATCAGAACAGTGCACCATGTCCCAGCCTGGGCCTCAGAGCCACAGACGTGGCTAATGGAGAAGGACTGGTGACTCACCGGTCACACTGACAAACTGCACGATGGACATCTCCACAAAATACTAAAGACAGCAGAAGGACTCCATGAGGTTCATCACCCCCTGGAAGGTAAGTAGTATCACTGCAAGTCAACTCCATTAATCTGCCCAAGATCACGGCCGGTGAGCAGAGTGGGGAACTCGCAGCCTTGTAACTCTCACACTCATTTCCCTCCGCTCCACATCTAAAAAGACACAGGCAGTGTGTGCAGAGCCAGGGGCCTGAAGAAGGCCTCCTCTGTCTGCGACACACTCCACAGGAATCTGGGATCACGGTGGGGGGCACAAAAGGGGTGACCTTTCTACGAACAAATCCCTACCTCTGGGGAATGAACAGGAAGAAGACAGTCCAGGCACACACCAGTACCCTGCTCCTCTAAAGTGGGGCCACTGCTAGCAGCTGCGACTACAGACAGGCACATGCATCCTGCTCAGCACTGGGTCTTCATCACTGCCTCACCTGTGCACAGGACATTCTATTCCTCAGCTGCAGTGAGTCTCGCTATTCTTCCATCCTGCAATAGTTCTCAGACCTGGCTGCATCAAATGACCTTAAAAACTTAAAAATACAGATTGTTTGGTCCTAACTCTAGACTTACTAAATCAGAATCTTTATGGATAAAAGAATTTGACAACATCTATCAAAATTTTAAATACAATTTATCCTTTGTTCAAACAATGCCCTATTTGGCCTTATAAGCATAGTTACAAAGTTTGCCGACAAAATATAAGGATACTCACTTCCCATTATTCATAGCAGTAAAAACTGAAAATAACCATATGATGAACTAATAGGGGAGCTATTAAGTTACAGAAAACCCACACGCTGGGATACTGTGCTGCTACTAAAAGATGAGTCCAAAATGCTCTCGACCCACCGATCAAATTAGTGACTCCCATGAAAATGGAACAACTGAGTCTTTGCCTAACATTCTATATAACACCCATGGTTACTGGCACAGTGGAACCCATAACTACTAAAAGCTTGTAAATACAGGGGAATATTACTATTCTTAACCTTTTTAAAAAATACTTAGTCTGATGCACAAGTCACCCCAGTGTGGCAGAACAGGGGAGTCGAGTAACCCGTCAGTGGGGAGTCAGGCACTCATTCTGGAGCTGAGGGCCCAGGAGCCTTTGAGGCCAATGCAGATGTGGTTACTGTTTGTCTGACTCTCACTACACAAAAGGTTCACCAGGCAAGGACCATCCTCGTCCTTTCCACACAGCAATCCCCACCCAGCCCATAAGCACCCCTGAGTAACTACCAGTGTAATCAAGTTATCCTAACAATCTCTGAATCTGGAAGTCTCAACCCACAGAAAATCAGTCAAAGGGAGAGGTGACACATCCTTGCTGCTAGTAAGCAGACCAAGCTAGTCTCTTAAGCTTGAGAAGAGATTTTGACTGATTCTCCCAGAAAACAATATCCGGGGTGTGAAAGACCTACCAGAAAGGACTCTACCCATGCCTTCCTCATGATTTTGCAGTGCTGTAGGGTTTTCATGAACACCACGGCCTTTACAGGCCCACTTGGAAAGAGAGAGAAACTGAGACCCAGGACAGATGTCATTTGCCCAAGTTCAGAGAGTGAGGGTTATCTGTCTCACAGAGAATCTCCTGCTCTTTCCCCTGCACTGCCCTGCCTTTATTCCAATGAGATGTCTTCTTAGTTCTACAAGGCCAGGTTCATCTTTACAATCCCAACTAACTTATCATGCTACAGAGCACAGATAAACACCCAATAAAAACCAACCACTGACATGGTTTTTACAAAATCTGTGATTACTGACAAGAATCCCATTCTCTCCATTTCAGAGATTAAAAGTGGACTGCAAACAAATACTAACCTGACCCCAAAGAGGAGGGTTCCTCTTCCTGTAAGGTCTCTGCAGAACCATCCCACTGACAAAGCACAGGCTTTAGTGTCTCCTCCTCACCATAATGAGCTATAAATGTCCGGTCACAACCAAGATGGTGCTCTGGCATCAACACTGTTATAAGGCCCAAGGAATGAGGAACAGTCTTAGAAAGCTAACACCCCTTCCTTCTGTTCATGTTGGAGGATTTCTGTTGTGAAAGGAATAAATTGTTCCTATGATTATAATAATAACTAGCTGACAGTAATTCATAACTAAGAGACAATTCTGTAGTATAAACTTTTTTAGGATAAAAAGGCATTTTTTTCAAAACTTATTAACTCTTATTCTAACCTTATTTTTGGAGACCAAATCCATCCTATGAGGAAAGAGAAAAGTATTCTGCTGCACTCTCTGCACTGAAACTAACAGAGCATTCAATCTCCAGGCTAAGGGGCCGAAGTCACAGATGGTCTCAGAATTGGAAATGAAGTCAAAGCCATGGGAACTGCCTGTTTTTGCCAAGTCCACATTAATTCATTAGTTTCTCTAAGAGAATTTTCTCCTAAGAAAAAGTACAGAGTATGTCATAGTATCCCACAGTAATTATACAAGAGCTAAAACCCTGAGTATTTGTTATCAAACACCTTTTGATGTTTCAGTTGTGATATTCAAAATGTCATCAGAAAAGCCCGGTCCGCTAGCTGAGGGTAAAGAACAAAGGGACCAGACCTTCTTCTTTGCCTCAAGAAAATGCTTTAAACACTTGATAAAAAATATAGTATCTTATAAACTCATAAAGTGCCCCAAACTGACACAGTAGATGACCATCATAAAGATCCTGTGGCCCTCTCTAGGGTTAATGTCACAGGGAATAGTGACGAAAGGCTCAGCCCTAACTTCAGTTTCATATACACCTGCCTTAACTATGTTATTTTCAGAATAAAAGATACTCTGATCCTACACTGTTCTCATTTCCCAGATTTCCTTTATGTCTCAGATAAGCTGAAGTGTCAAGCAAAACATTTTTTTAATTTAAATGGGCTGAGGATTTGGCTCAGTGGTTCCATTGCCTGCCTTGCAAGCACAAGGGCCAGAGTTCGATCTCCGGTACCACCAAAAAAAATTTCTTTTTTAAATCTCACACCAACATGAACTTCCCTGAGAAAATACAGAGGACACACACAGTCCCAAGTTCCACATGCACTGGTGGGGACAGTGGGAAATGCACCATCAGGGGACTTCCTCACCACCAGAGCACCAGTGTTCTCTGCACATAAACAACAACTAGAAAGGACAAGGCACGATGTCTGCTGTCTGCTTTCACCACTCGGTTAGAGTTATATTTGGAAAACAGTTACCTTAAGAGGTCAAGGTTGGCCTACAGGGAAAAAAATCCCACAACCAAGAAAACAAAGCACAGGGTGACAAAAATTCCCCAAGAAGCCAGATAAGCAACATTACCAGTAATCCCAGCTACTCAGGAGAATGACCAAGGCAGAAGAGTCACTTGAGCCCAGGACTTTTGAGGCCAGCCTGGGTGACCTAAGTCAGATCCTGTCTCCATAAAAAATAAAAACTAAGGGCTGGTCGTGATGGTGCATGCCTGTAATGCCAGCACTTGGGAGCTGAGGCAAGAGAATCGCTGAGTTCAAGGCCAGCCTGGGCTACATGGTGAGTTCAAGGCCAGTCCAAAATATACAGCAAGACTCTGTCTCCAAAGAACAAATAAAATAAAAAGGGCAACTAGGTTTCTTTATGGAATGCATCCCTAATTAAACTAAAAATTTCTTGTATCACTTACCCATTAAAACCACTTACAAAGCATTAAAAATGTTTAATTTTAATGTTATCAATATTATCAATTATAATAATTATAATTATACCAATTATATTAATAAATAACAAATTATCAAATATTTTACTCTCCGATCCAATAAAACCTGTAGTTTTACTTTGTATTTTTATCAGAAAGTTATGGATCTTTTCATATATTTATCAATCTCTTCTATTTCTTTCCCTGTAAACTATTAATGTTATTGGTCCACTTGCCTTTCTCAAAGTTTCTATGCCTAAAGGCCAACTCTCACCACTGTCAACTTATACCAGTTCCTGCAAAATAACTCCCACGTGCTGGGCATGGTGGTGCACGCCTGTAATCCCAGCACTCAGGAGGCTGAGGCAGGAGGATTGCTGTGAGTTTGAAACCAGCCTGGGCTACACAGTGAGTTCCAGGTCAGTCTCAACTTCCTAGTGAGACCATCTCAAAAAATAAAAAATAAAACAAAACTCTACCATACAGCTATGCGTTCACACTATAGTCAGGCAAATGCTGAGAGGCAGCATGGGAATAAGCCTTCTTTCCACACGACCAAGAACATGCTTTAGTGGTATGATTCTGTCATTCCAACAGCCAAGAGTCCACTCAAGAGCAGTGAACGAGTAAACAAATGAGAAAGAAAGAAATAGCACACATGAGTCTTGGAGGAAAAAACCCAACTCAACAATGAGTGAGGCAATGCTGGAAATTGTCTAATAATGACGGTGCTGTAACCCAAGGGAACAGTTCCTGCTAGAAACAACTGACCGAAAATTAACACAATGCTTATGAGGAGCAGCACAATGAAGCAAAGCCCAAGTGGTCTATTAGTGATCTGCAGGGGTACAAATAGTGTGTGAAACTAAATCTACAGCCCGAGGAAAAGAACAATTTTGAAACGTGAAGAGATTAAGTGTTTTGATTCAGTCTATTTCTATCCTAAGAAAACACGCTTACTGCATTAGGTAAAGTAACAAGAAATGAGAATGACCTGAACAGCCCTAATAGAAAATTGTGCTTTACCATGTCAGGTAAACCGTCCACCTTACAGGCCTTTCTAGGCAAAACTGCCCCTCCCAGACCTGAAAGGGCAGCCCGGGCCAAGATGACAATTACCACAATACATGGCTGACAGGACCACAGACCAACACACATCCACAGGCCACAGACTTAACACCAGTGGTGCAGGCTGGCTGACAACCTGGGACATATGTTCCTGACTCAAAACCATGAGGGGGCCAGAATTATTTTCCCAGATATCCAAGTAGGATGTAGCAAGAAATGTGGCAAGCAAAAAGCAACAAGAATTAATCCAAAAGGACTTCATAGAGACAGAGGCCAGGGTAGTCACAGGTCATCACACAAGTCATTTCAGCAAGCCCAACACCAACTGAGGCACAGACCCTGTGGGACCCCACACACCCCACTAGAGACAGAGGAAATGATCTGAGAGCTGACCAAAGCCCAGCCATATGACAACTGGTATTACCAGATTACTGAAAGATTTGTCTTCTCCCTTCTGTATCCTTTCAGTAAATCCCATCAATAAGGTAATCTGCTGTGATGAATTCCATTTTAATTTTTTATTTAACAAATATTTACAGTATAGCTGCTTCAAATCCAAGCCAACAAATGTCCACTGAGAG